TTGCTTGGAAACTATTGTCACTAGGGAGCTGTAATTTTGTGGAAGTATGTATATTAATCACGCCGACAAAACGGTAGAATAAAATAATTAAAAAAAAATTAGGGTAGCTCCCCTACATGTAAAGTGGGGATGATTTTTTTTTATCTTCTACCCCATTGTGTGGGATATCGCTAGATAGGTTTTTTAAATGACTTAGGGGTTTCTATGACTATTTTTCCATTTAGGGTTATTATCCACTGGTCGCTCATGCTTTACCCGCTGCATCTTATGTCAGGGCTTGGCGTGACGCACGGCCTGTCCGGCTGCTGCAGCCGACGTTAATCAATACGGTTATCGGTCCGGATATCCGGGTCACTACATATTGCACTCATTTGTCGTTGGAATAATGCTTCATTCACCATTACCTTTAAATTTTTAATTTCGTTTCCGAATGATACCAGATTTAACAACGCAAAAAATCGAACAAATTAATTATAGTATACGTCATAATCACGATACTCATTACTTAGTACTTGAGTGGAAAAATTGTGATTTTTTTTATTGATAATTATTTCATCCCAATAAAAATATTTGTCGCTCTATTTGTCATGGCACGTAACGCATGATATTTTTACTTAAAATTGCAGTTAATTATGTAACCATAGCTGTTTTTAGGCAAGCATAATAACTAAGGAAGGACAAGTATACATTATAGTATACATACATATACTTAGGTAAATATTCAACCTTTAAAACATTTAAGTACGACTGGGTGTGTGACGATCACCGTCTATGAATCGTCGTCGTCCCACCCGGGTGTCCGTGTCAACGCGTGACGCATGGCCTGTCCGGTTATTACTGCAGCTGTTGCTAATCAATAACCGGCCGGGGCCAGAACAATGCCTGTTACATGTACAATATTCATGTGCAAAGGCTGTTGACCCCGTTAAGCCTAGATTTAGAGACCCTTTTAATTAGGGGATGTAGTTAAATTATGCTTATGGGACGAGATGGCCTCTTTAGACGACGTTTCCGTGAAATTAACAACGACTTTTACTCGACTTAAAAAAGGACGTTCATTATTTCATTATTTTGAAGCAGGTGCTTATTTTTTCTTCTGTTTTTATTTTGTTTATTACACCATGACCCCGAAAATGCATGTTCAATAACTAACGAAATAGTTTTATTCGTGCTACCATTCACTGTCTTTGGTTAATTACTACGTGTTTACGCGGCTTGGTTACAATAATCATTTTAACCGAGATGAAATAATTCATAAATACCACAGAAAGCGTTAAAAAGATTACCATGATTGATACTTCTGGAGTCGGTGCCAAGATTATGAAACATGTAAAGTTTGCCTGCACCGACTCCAAAAGTATCAATCATGGTATACCTACATAAATATTAATTCGTCCTAATAAATAAGTAGGTTATTAGTAATTATTTTTCTACTTTTTAATGTAGATTTTTTGGAGTCGGTTTTATTTTTTTTTATAAAATTTTACTTATTTATTGCTTTTTAGTTAACTAATTATTACCTTGATGTTACCACTGAAGGTAGGCAGTACATTGAGACAATACTCTTCATGTCTAGTGTAAAATAATATTCCCTACAAAATACAGGTTACCATATAGGAAACCTAAAAAGACCTTAAACCGTCAGCCCACCTTAAAAACATGAAAGAATACAACTGTTGGTCTATTTGTACTTATAATATTTAAAGAATTATATAGCCTGACCAGGAACATAAAAACCCTCGCCATGTTGCGGAAAACTAATGGTACTAATTTCTTTTAATGGCAACAGTAACTGAAAACTTCATTCACATGTCACCATGCATGTCAGTCTATTGTTGTCAAAGTGTAAACAAACTTTATTTTAAATGTGTGCAATTGATTTCGTGTATTAAATTGCTAAAATATTTTTATAGTCGTGAAAGAAAAGTGGTTCACGATGTGTTAATGTATTTGTCGAAGAGAAATACTAAGGGTTCGGACAATATTTTCATTGAATAATGTTTCCGACAAAGGTTGTCAAATTGACTGACATGTTTATCGTATGGTACAGTCCACTATGAAAATTAGCTGTAGTCTGTTTCAACTACCTATTTTAAAGTTTTTTTGTCTCTTTCTAAGTTTTGAATTTTATGGAATTGGGAAAGAAGTACCGAGTTTGAAGCGTTCATGAGCAGACATTGCAGTTGAATATTCATGTTCTGAATTTGATTATTTATTGATGAATAATAAAATAAATCCTACTAGCTCGATTGATGGTTTCATTTAATTTATTTAAACCAGGTTATCTTTAATAATATTTTTCGTTAATTTATGAAAATATCAAATTAGCTCGTAATCCTGAATCCTGATACATAAATTTAGCCTATTAATTTAACACATGTACGACTGTACTCAGTGTTGCACTATCAAATGCAATTGAAGCGCCTCTGTGCCAGGGTTTTTATGTTCCTGGTCAGGCTATAATTATTTTTTTACTAGACAGCAACCCTAACAGCGTAAGAAGAGTTCAAAGGCACGCGATAGAAAGAGACAAAACTTGTAGGTGAATAAAATTGTAGGTACGTAGTGCTGTGCGAGCTGAATTCCACTGTATCGCGTCGTAGCAAGACTCGCATTCATTTAAATCGTCTTGCGGAGTAATCCTTCTGTACCTGTACTATTACTTATTCTGTGGTACGGCCGAGCGGTCGCCAGCAAAAGGCAGCAATGTAACAGTATTAATCCACTCCCCGCGGTAATCTCTTTGTAGGAAGCGGAAGCAATAACGGAGGTACACCGTCTTAAATATTCAAATGAGGTTCCCTTTCTATTGCCTCTTTTTAGGGATCAGCGGTCACTAATTTGGACCTGTTAAATTATTTGAAGCTTTGAATAATTCACTCTCTAAGCTCCTGTCCTGAGCGTTTAATTAAGTAGAGAGTAATTACTAAGAACATTACTTGTATACGCTACTATAACAATGAAGCACTTCACAAACGTTTGTAGTTCATTTCAACATTTTTATAATTATTCAATCAAAATTAAAAAATGCCTCTTTTCACACCGATTTCCTTGGTAAATTTAAGGTAAATCAGTATCAGTTCATCGCACTTTCATCGCAATAAAAACGGACCTGTGTATGTTTATATGAACTAGGGGTAGCTCGACAAGTAGCTTCTAAACGGCTTAGATACAAAAAGTTACTTTCAAACGTCCTGAAATAAATTATCTCTCAGTTGATTAAAAAACAAAAAGTTAAATCGTACGGAACCTACGTCTGTTAGAGTATTACATTTTTCTCAGCCGTAGGAAGTCCGAGGATTACTTTTGACGGTCGACTGGCGCGAGCCGTTCGCAAGCAATAGGGGTCCTAATGAGCCCGAAACCTTCAGGAGCCGAGGTATAATCCCTATTTGCTCCTCTTTGTAGCCGGCTGTAATAGTAGCGACGTGATTGCAGGTTTTTAAACCCAAGATTTCACAATGATATGCATTTTAAATTGAAAAAGATTGTGGACGATTTCTGAAGACAATGAAACTTGCTATTGAATGGATAAATAGTTCAGATATTATGCCGTATTAAGATTAGATAACGAAAATGGATCTTTTACGTTATGGCTACATCCTAGATGTACTTAGTTGTATGCTAAGTACCAAAGTTAGCAGGCTCATTACACTCCATCACAGATTACAACGTGGTGGCCCGTATCACCGTATCGTCGCTAGTTCCCGCCCGTAAGGTGGCGCCCAGATTGTCGTCTACCGTCAATTTTGTTATCGCTCGGAACGTCTCACTCAGCTTGGCTCTAATATAGATAGTACGTAGGTACTATGTAGATGTCTGGGTTGGTGATGATCGAATATTGTGGAGAAACTAAAAAGGTATTGCACAAACGTTTTGTGCGCTTGTAAAAGGTGCCGATTTTAACTAAAACGAAAGGAAATTAATACATTTCATTCCCTCAGATTAACTCGACCCTTTTCAATTATGTCAGTCTATTCAATTTCTAAATTGAATTCATTATCTGCTACGAAGATAAAGTACCTACTTATTGTTTTTTTTTAATAGAAAAATAAAATATTTCGGCGAATTGAGAACCTCCTCCTTTTTTTGAAGTCGGTTAAAAATGTAGAATTTATTGTTTTTAATTATCAGTTGAAAACCTTGTATCTGAATAAGGTTGGCTTGAAGATAGTAACAGTGGCATCGCGTGCTAGCAGCTCGTTAGGGCGCGATCATTCGCACGGCGGCGCGGAAGCGAGGGCCAATTTGTTCGTATCTTTGTTTCTCTCCGCAGCTTCCTCTCTTGGCTTTTTGGTTTCATGAAGGACGACTGTTCAGATTTTTCCTACTATTCAACATGTTAGACAAGCGAAATGGTTTGTAAATTATTAAGCTTGGTTTGGTAAAAACAACTTTAATTTTGGTAAAGAAACACTTTTAAGGTGAATTTGTCAGCAGTTGCAAGGTTGGATTTTTGCCTGGCGGTTTAGTGACCGGTGTTGAACCGCCACCGGTGCAGACGGGCAAGGTGGTTAATTGTCTGCTCGCGAAAAGAGGTTGTCCGGCTTGCAGAAATTTATAAATTACCGTTCCTTGATGTATTTAAATAAAATAAGTTAATAAAACAATTCCCTCTCAATTGACACAATTAATTAGATTTCCAGTTGTATGTAAGATGGTAAATAATATAAATTAAGTTAGCTATGTATATGTCAACGTGAAATTGTCAGTTTATAATATAACACGTTAGATTGTAAACTAACAGTGGGTTAGGTTAGGTTAGATTGTAATTTAACTACGTCAGATTATAATCTGACGGAATTCACAATTTTACGGTGACATATACAACTTATAATTACGTTACGATACAACTAATAATGAAATCATTAGTGCCAACCTCAAGAGATTCAGGGTCGTTAATTAGGTTTGGTTTGGTGAATATTATTGCCACTATAAATTTCTGAAAACTCAGCCTAAATATTAAAAGACTACTGAATAAGATAACTGCGAGCTGTCAGGTCAGAAAGACTCCTACTTTTATCATGGAAAAGTGGGTACCTTGGAAGCCATGCGGTTATAAGCCGTTACCCTGAACGTTCCTCTCTTCTTCTGGGGTTCAACAGGTCTCGCACACTTTTAGGCTACAAGCAGCGTCCTCCACGGCCTCAAGCATGCAGTGCCAGATGAAGCTCGTGCATCTCCTCGACAGAAAAGCGTTCAAACTCTTGCAGATAAAGAGGTTTGAGAACAAGGAGGAAATGCGAAGAGATGATAGCACAAAAGATGATGATGTAACTTATGAAATTTATATAGTAACTCAAAAAACCCGCATCTGAAACGAAAAATAGGAGTGTCAGCATCACATGTGGAACGTGGCATTAGGTTATGGAAAAACCAGCTATGGGAACCAATTACTTACGAAGACTGCTCGCTAATTACATTTCACTTGCAGTCTTCAGCATTCCACCCTCAGCCAAAACAACGATTAGGGAATTCCTGAAAGAAACGATCACATGAAATACCTCGTCAACGTCACGAAAAATATCAATCCACCAAAATAAATAATTTCTCCGACGAGAACTCACCTCATGTGTGTTTTATTTAATTCCTAATCACAAAATACTTATTGATGCATTTTGCATCGCACGATGGAATTGTAAAAGGATTAGATCCCACCAAAAATTTCGAAATTGCGATTGCGCACGACCAAATCAAAAAAATCCAAAATGATTTGACATTTTTTGACAGTTCATTCAACTGACAGTTGCGAGATGACGTTCCGTTTCGCCAACGTAAAAAAGTAAATAGTTACTGTAAAAAACCTTACTGCAAAACTTGGTTTTGGAAATCAAAACAATGAAAACATTATATTTAAAAATAGAATTAGCAAAATAAAAACATTAAGAAATGTTTCATTAAAATATATTTTGAATCGATTCCTCATCGATACGAAACCACGGAGCAAAGAGCGCCATCTATTGCAAATTACTTTCCAAACATACTAATAGATGTCGTTAGTGGTATCTAAAATTCGAATATTAAGCTGCTCAATGATGATTTCCTTGCTCAATTTGAGCAAGGAAATCAATTCACAAAAAACTGCTGAGCTGCAACGATACACAGTGTCAGGGATTGTGTCCAATCCATATAATAGTTTCGTTGTGATACAATTTCACTAAGGGCTGATTTTTCAATCGTCAGATCTGGGGGCACGGCAGTGCCCCCACCAAGTCGAGCAAAAAAGCGGCACGGCCGTACCATCCTTTTCTCGAAGCAATTCAGGCCATTTTCGACCGCCTGTAACTTCGTTGTGGATAAAACTAGAAGGCTGAATTTTCATTAGCTATGCAGGCATTGTAAAGACACGGTATATTTAAAATTTCATTCAATTTGAACCAGTAGTTTAAGAATTATAACGGGTCAAAGTTACTTAATTTTGTCACTCACTGACTGACTCACTGACTCACTGACTCACTCACTGACTCACCGATCATCAAAACTCTAAGGCACTTCTAGCAGACCTAGAAGCTTCAAATTTGGAATATAAGAAGTGTTTGGTGTATGAATCAAGGAAAAACTAAAATATTTGGGGGCACGGTAGTGCAACCGCCAAGTCGAGTAAAATTTTTCAATTTCGGTCCAGTTTTCTAGATACATAACTGCTGTCTACAAAATACAAAAAGAAATGAGATCCCATCAAAAACAATACTTGTCAAAAAAACCAAGTCTCGCAACTCAGTTGTTCTACGGTAAAAAGTTGTGAGATCCATGTAATACCAAGTCCAGGCCAGGAAATCTTTAACGTTTTACATAAATATATTGACTTGGTCATCGCATGAAAACACGTGTAAATAAAATTATTTAGTGCGATACACACTTATCTATCCATATCTGTGGGATACACACTTACACAGTCATTATCATAAACTAATCTACCTAACATGTCTGTTGAGGAGAAAAATTCAGGAGCCGGTTTTTGGTAAAGTTGTATTGTTACACGCAGTAGATGTTGATTGTAGGTCACAGATATTGTTGTAGGTATGTCGCAGGCAAATTGTATGATTCCGCATTTTACAAACGGCGTCGTCAGTTCACAAACGCTCGCTGTACTATGAAATGCCGAAGGCAAAATGTAAATTGCCTTGGCACTTTATAATATGCCACAAAATTTGATAGCCAATTCAATCGCCGTTTACAAAATGCCGCGGCAAATTGAAGAATTTAGTTCTTTTTCTTACCACGCGAGGCGCTGCCAATCAAAACAAGAAAAATGGCGTCGAATAGTGGTGTTGTGATACAGAAAAATATTGAAAACAGTGCAAATTCTACGTATTCAAAGGACTTTTCACAAAAAAACTAATGTTTTAAAGACATTTATTTTACGATTAAAAAATAGGAGCAGTGAAAAAGCCGTAGACAAATGAAAAAGTTTTTGAGGTTATCAGGTATGCAAAAAACGCTAAGGTGACAATGGGATCTGGTGCTCGGAGGACTGCTGCGGAATATTATATGGTATAAAAAATATGATGTATGAGTATTGGCGATGTGGACTATCTTATTCTGAAAAAAAAAAAGACAGTCCTGAGAGCCCAACGGAAAACATACCTATGGAAGACTATTATGATATGTGAACGCTAAAGTGTAACCTTGTTGGTGACCAAATAAATAAATATTGTTAGATATTCATAGACATGGTAGTCGAGACAAAATTCAGTACCAAATTAAAGATCGATATTGTCTATTTAAATAGAATTTGAATTACTGATTTAAGGTCCGATTTATCCTACATGTGTTTTATGATGGTCACTTTATTGCAACAATCATAGTCGAAATTTTATCAATTGAACGAGTCGCCAATTTGCCTTCGGCATTTCACAGAACAGCGAGCGTTTGTAAACTGACGACGCCGTTTGTAAAATGCGGAATCATACAATTTGCCTGCGACAGGTAGGGTAATTGCGCCGGTTTTCCGTCCAGCTCCTGTTTTCGTCCATTTGACCGACTTGCCACAAACAAATACGGAAAATTAGAATACAAACCTAACTTTCCGTGCAAGTTTGGACTTGTTACAATCTATAATATCTAAGTAACAGTTCTGCCTGCATGAAAATGTAATTTGACAAGTAATAACTCCAAAAAAATCTACGGAAGTTGCTGCTGCATACAGGTGAATGGAAAACGTCGTCAAGTTAGGAAAAAAACGTGCTGGTAGGGAACTTTCATGGTATGTTTAATTACTGTTTTAGCTACTTTACGTAATGTTTTTGGCACGTATGTCTAATTATTAGCATAATAAACACTATTTTAAGGGTTAATTAAAGTTTTTGTATAGAAATCTTAGATAATTAAGTGGACTAATACTAGCATAACAATTTTGCAAGATTTTGGTTTTCGTCCACGTGGACGGAAACCCTGACACCTAGTTAATATTTTTAATAATCATTTTACTTCAATGGACCTACAAAATACAATGTTTTTTCTTCCAATATGATCTTTATTGCTATTACATTAAACATTTTAGTTTACGTCCACTTTTTAACAGTGATAAACCCATAAAAACCGTTAAAAAGATGTGGACGAAAACAAAAAACAGCTTTAAACGTTGTTGTGTTTTCGTCCATGACGTCATGAGCAAGCACTGGGGTGGACGAAAACCAAAATTAGCTATTCCTGTAGATTAGTTTTCGTCCATTTGTCCTTCGACCTATTGAAATATTTTCCTAAATTTAGGTAAGAAACTTATTTAAATATTTTTGATATCATTTGAAAGCTAACAAAATTACCTTTCAAATGATATACCACAATCCATAGTTACTGTATTGTAGAGTTGGTTTTAAGTTAATAATTCAACTGCACCCTTTTTTCTACACAGTGGTCGAAAACTAGCGTACACTAGGACGAAAACTGATTTTTTTGGACGAAAACTAGTGAAATCGCCTCTTTTGGATAAAATATTTTTTATAAAAAAACCCGTGGTATTTACTTATTGTCATATAATATTAACGTAAAGTAGACTATATAAGGACTAAAATGACATATGATACATATGAGTAAGGGTATTTTAAGATATTCATTTCGCATCACAAAGTTGGCAACTCCGATAATTGGACGAAAACTAGCGCACTTACCCTACATTGGTTTGAGAAAAGTGTAAAAATTGTCGCACTCGTGCAAACAACACGGACATGTGTAGCGCCATCTATGATTCCCTATGTAAATCATTTCGTTAGTAGGTACTGTTAGTTCTGTAAAACAAGAGGAATCATAGATGGCGCTTTACAAATATTCGTTTTATAATAATTTAAATGGTGCTAATATGGGTTTGGAACAATGTCTATATTGAATGAGGGTTTTCGCGATTGAAAAATCCGCCAGATGGCAATACGTAGACGCGAGGTCCAAATGCTGCGTGATTGGAGGATTTTGACATATCTGTCAATGTCATATCAAAAATAACCAATCATGCATCATTTGGACCTCGCGTCTACGTATTGCCATCTGGCGGATTTTTCAATCTTGATTCAATCTTGAAATATTATTGTCGAGACCAATAACAAACAGTCTACAGGGTGTTAGGTAAATGGGTATATGATCCGACACTAGCCCATGTTAACATAGCCATAGGCATATAAATGGTATGGTGAAGTCAGAAAGATATCATGATTTTAATTTTTTTAATTTTCATACAAAATAAATTTAACAAAATCCGATTTGTATGAAAATTAAAATAGTTAAAATGAAGATATCAATTTTCTGACTTCACCATACCATTTATATGACCATGTTAACATGGGCTAGTGTCGGCTCATATACCCATTTACCTAACACCCTGTATAATACGTACTTTACGTACTATGTAGGTACCTAAGTAAAGTGAAGCGTAGCGCGTAAAGTAAAGCGGTTTCTTGGTGGTTCTCATTGACGAGGCACTGAGGCGGTAACCGCGCAGTTAAGGTTAGATGCAAATGTGCGAAAACTGCCCAGAAACTGCGTTTTTATCGCGTGTTCTAAGCCAGGCCATAGGTAAATCAATTTTTTTTTTTTTCGGACGGACTATGCTGATAGCTGTGAGCGGCTTTTTCAGCTTCACCGGACAATAGGTGAGCGCAGATGGCTCTCAACCTCAAAATTTAAGCAACGAGCCTAAGGACGCCCCCGAGTGGGCCTCGGACCTCGGCCTAGGGCGTTGCTGGGGGACGGTAGCCTAACGTAGGTTTGGGGAGAGAAGCGGCCCGGCACGTGCCGATACCGCGAGAAAAAGGGACGGGTCGAAGGGGACCGCGGCGCGAGTCCTCGCCGGCGAGGACGGTAGATCGATTGGAGTGGAGTGGTGCTAGTTTTCGCGAGCTGTTGGGCGGCCTCGATGGCTAGGGTGATGTCGTCGTCGGGATCGCTGAGGGCGTTCCTGGGACGACGTCTGCGCGGGGAGGTAAATCAAGAGTGTCACGTACCTCCCAGCCTCAGCTCGGCGGCGGCCTGCGCGCTGTCGAGGTCGCGCTCGGCGAAGCACTGGTACATGCCGCGATGCGCGCGCACCACGCCGTGCACGCGCAGCACGCGCTCGCCGCCCGCCACGGGCACGCCGTCGTGCAGCCAGCGCACGCGCGCGTCCCCGCCTTGGACGGAGCAGTTGAACGACACCGAGCTGCCCGAGTTGGCCACCTATCCCCACAAATAAAACACGAAATTAATGAAATATTTAATGAATTTTAGGCGAGTTTTGGCACGCCCATCAATATAAATCTATTAATCTATACTTATAATAAATCTGTAGAGAGGTCAATTCTGTACATGAAATATATTTTCAAAATAACTATCAGGGGGTGATTAGTGATCGATACTGATGCCAAAAATGCAATCAGTAAAATTTTTGTCTGTCTGTCTGTCTGTCCGTCTGTATGTTCCTTATTATAGAAACAAAAACTACTCGACGGATTTTAACGAAACTTGGTACAATTATTCTTCATACTCCTGGGCAGGTTATAGTATACTTAGGAATTCCCATGGGAACAGGAATTAGCGGGAAAATCCTTTTGTATGAAAAATATAAACCGCTTAAGTTAGACGCTTGAAATTTGGCATGCAGGTACCTTAGTAAACTTAAAGCTTAGTTACAATAGGATATTGCAAAATTCCCACGGGAACGGGAGTTAGCGGGAAAAAACATTTGTATGAAAAAATCTAAACCGCGTAAGATAGATGAAGGGGGTAAAATGGGATTCACGCGTACGAAGTCGCGGGCGGCCGCTAGTAATGACTAAAGAAAAGAAAGAAAATCAGCTTTTTTGATGATGTACATTCAGTGGCGGCGTAGCATGGGTTGGCACCCGGGGCGGCACCCCCCCCCCCCGTCATAATATAAATTATAGCCTAAGGCACCCCAGAATGGCACCCCCCCTGTCATGACATCACGACCGTCCTTGACATGCAAATGCGTCAGTGAGTACTAATNGGCACCCCAGAATGGCACCCCCCCTGTCATGACATCACGACCGTCCTTGACATGCAAATGCGTCAGTGAGTACTAATCTGCGCGACTTTGTCACCCCTTGATGTTTGGCACCCGGGGCGGACCGCCCCCACCGCCCCCCCCTTACGCCGCTACTGTGTACATTATAGTCTGCATGACGGAGACGAAGGCCCTGCTCCGAGCAGTTGAACGACACCGAGCTGTCCGAGTTGGCCACCTGCCACAAACAACGACAGCTTTCATCATTAGGTAGTCTCCATTGCAGAAGGATGCCCCACACGACTCTTTCTAATTTATCGGAGGCAAAAGGGAGGAGGAAAAGTGAGGAAATGAGTTCGTAATTGAGGTATTTTTTCAGTTTCTTATCATACCGTATTCAGTTTCTTATCATACCGTATTCAGTTTCTTATCATACCGTATTAAATAAAGGAGGTAGGTAGGTACCTACTACATCGTAGTATAATTACCTAAGTTAGGTAACATGAATCTACAGTGTGCCAATCACCCCAATTGTCTTGGATTCGAATCTTGTGGCGTAGATTAATTATTTTGGAATTATGCGCGTATGTGATCAAAAGCTCATGTTAATACAAATTGAATCGTTGAAGTCAGGAGTTAAAAGTAAGCTTTTAGGATTCCCAGTCTATATAGATATCTTCTTTTGAACTTAATCGATCTAAAGGCTTCCAAGTTTAATATCTTCGCCACAGTTTAAGGCAGAGATCTAACAGTTGGAGTTTAGTCGTCTTGACGTCCACGAACAAATTATCTGGGTCTCGAGTTGGCAAAAAGGTGGCGACGGGTCCGGCGGCCATGAATAATGCAGCGTGAGCGGCTGCAAGTGTCGCGGCGTGATGCTGAGCTCATTGTGGGTTAGGGCTGCTACTGATATTGATGTCTAGGTCTTCAGAACAGGGCAGAACAAGCCATTGAAGGCAAGTTTTTTGTTGCTAACTTGAGAACTATAACTAAAACAAAGTCTGGCGAATTTGACCCAATTCGCTAGGTTATTGGAATTCATAATTTTGTTATTACGTTGCGTAACATTTGCCTTCGAGTTACATGATTTTGAAAACTCTCTCTCACGTCCTATTCAAGAAAATGTGTTTGATCTAATTTTCCAAATGCGTCCAATAACCATAATATGCACACGCATTCCCAAACCCGTCCCAAACAAAACAAAGCTATTAACCCTACAAAGCGTCCAATTGGAGACGCGAACAAATGTAACCCCTTGTCTGTATTCCGCGCCGCGGCGCCTCGGCTGTGCGTTGAATACTTATTTTTCAATTCCGGCGCGATGGGCGCTGTGACGAGCATGCAGCCGAGAACGGCCGCGTTTAGAGTTCCGTGTCGACAACGTGTTGCTCGGCTGCCGGCTGAATGTTGATGGACTTTGATTTTGGGAGAGTCAAGAGGTTAATTTTATATTTGCAGAAGTTAGTTTGCAACAAAAGACTATTCGGTGAGCTAATCACGGATTTATAACGCAAAATAAAGTTACGAGAAGAACCTTCACTCACTCACTTGTATAAAAATCATCTTCGATCTTCAATCGAAAATCACTTGTATAAAACACTCAGTGAGTCAAAAGACATAAGTTGCAGCAAACAAACAATTAAAATCAGCTTAGCAACCTATGTAATTATCTAGGAAATTTGAAAAGGCAGGTAGGTGAGATAATGGAATCCAGCTAAAAACTTAATCTGCCAATCCGCGAATTCAGACATTCGGCTTTGTTCGCATCAATGTTTTACGCGGAGCAGCAGTTTATTCCAGCCGGCTGCAATCAGACGATGTAACCGAACTACCCGCTAACTAGTCTGGCTTTTACTCGCTCGTGTTCTAAACTTAGATCCAAGCTCACTATCTGCTAAAATTATGAACTGCGCATTCATGGTTCCCGACTAAAATTCGAGCAGGTTCATTTAAATTATAGGATCAAGTTAGCAGGAAATAATATAAATAGCTTAAAAGCTTTTGTGATGGATTCGTTCGTTTCAGTCAAATGACGTCCACTGCCATACAAAGGCCTCAAGGATTTGCCAAACGACTGGCCCTGCGCTACTCGCATCCAGATATTTCTGCGACCCTCATCAGATCGTCAGTCCACCTGGTAAGAGGCCTGCCCATACCATGGCTTCCGGCCCAATGATACCCGAGTGGATCGTGAATATTCGACCCTTGTTCCGAGACTACTATCGGAATAAGGCTTAAAACGCACTGAGCGTATGGCTGCGATACGGCGTGCCGTTTCTGCAGGCTGTCTCTATATTTCATATGGAACCGCGTGATCTGAGTGCGTTAAGACAGTTTAAGCAGTGCATCTCACCTGTAGCTGCGGCTGCACGGTGACGACGAGCCGCGAGCGCACGGCGAGGCGCGCGTCGCGGCGCTGCTCGCCGAACTGGTTGTGCGCGCGGCACGTCCACACGCCGGCGTCGGCCGCCTGAGCGCGCCGCACGATCAGCACCTGGTCTGATACCGACACGCGCACGCTGTTGGATACGGGGCTGAGGCGACCGTTGTTGTGACGAAACCAGCTGCGGAAAACTGTTCATCAGTCTTTGCAATTTGAAATAAAACTTTGATATCAAAGGACATTGTCAGAAACCGCCTTAGATTCCTGGGCACAGCAGTAAAGTATCAAAATTAATCTCTTACTTTTTAAATACTTAAATATTAATTAGATTGTAATGGACACTTGAGGATTAAAAAATGAAATAATAAAAGTATTTTATATGTATACCATAATACTATGACGACATCCGGACATTTTAGGGCGTGGCCTGCTCCATATCCTATGAAGTTCCATAATTTGTGTCGATAAAATCTATGTAAAATCGGCACAAGGCAATGCCGTACTTCATTGTTAGGAATCCATGTAATAGTGATGTTGACTGCGGTCATCATAGACAATAAGATACCGATCTTGTAAATAAAATAAATCGTCCAAATTGCTACAGTATGACTAGATTTTAATTAAAAGTTAAAAATATATTGCACGATACTACAAGAAGCTATCTAATGTGTCCAACTGGTCGAAGGTCATGAATAAAATAAAAAGAATTGTGATCATAACACTGATATAGACAATGACAACAATATGGGATCATCTTTAATATATCTGTTACAGTTTCAAAATTCGATGAAAAATCCAATGCCGCTTAAAGTGAGAGAAATGTCTAAAGTTCTAATAGAATTGAAAGTTTTATTCGCTCAAAATGCTTATAACAATAATTGGTAATACATTTCAAATATTAAGTACCTTTATAATGTATCGATAGAACCAAAATGATATCCTCTCAGCTTGGAAAGGGAAAACCCAGGATTGGGGGAGCGCTCCAGGCAATTTTTAGAACATTTCATAGGTGGTAGTAAATAATATTTATTTTATTATTAAAATTGAATATTTTGATATTGATAAAATTGAATATATCTTTCGATTCAAATACCGAATATTTTTCAATCGATAATAATTATCGAGAATTGTTAATAATATTCAATTAAAAGTTGTTCAATCCCTAGTCATGCATAGACTAAGACGGTAACCATGGAGATAGTTAGTTTGGTAAGTCACGTGTTAAATGTCAAGAGTGGAAAGTAAACATAGGATTCATGTTATTTATTTACGTGCAAAATGTAAGTAAGTAAATCATAAAAGTGGAACGCCGAGCTATTTCCAAAACCCGTCCAATATTATAATACAATTTGGCTGCGACAACTACAATACAGAACATCTCCCAAATCGATGTGCATAAAATAATATAATACAATACTAGTAAGTAAGAGGTTATGATAACAATATTGCTATCAATAAGTTTATAGAATTGGTCCGCCAGGAATAATTGTTCTTACATAAAGATTTGTGTCATTTAGAACCTAGAAAGTATTATTTCGGCACTGTTGATCTAACGGCGAACAATGTATGGAGAACGAACATTGTCCTTTCCATATCAAATCCAAATTATTTATAGAAGTTTACTTTGTTTAAAGTATATTTAATTAGGTACCTAAAACATTTGTCAAGGCTTTTAACAAAATAGTACCTGTATGTTGGAGGAGGACTCCCGATGGCACAACAAACGAGCCGAATGTCACCTCCTTGCGGAACCACTTCGTCTTCAGATATGGCCAGGATTCGGGGAGCCATGCTCCCTGTTGAATCTACGGATTGACATGAAAAAGTAGGTAAGGCAGACAGAAAGTAAGAAGTGAAATTCGTATTTTTGTCACGGATCAGCATGCACTACAATATTGCCTGCATCGTCCATATTATTAATTGCCCTTATTTCTAAAATAAAAAACTGGACACTCACGTGAAACAGAAACCATGGCTGGTGGACTTCTCCTCTTCTCCCCGGTCAGGGAGTGCTGCACCTCGCAGGAGTACGTGCTGGGGTCGTCGGGCCTCGCGTCCCGGATAACCAGGATATCCCCTCGACTGCCTCCGATAATATGCTGCCCAACTAACGATAACAAAGAAACCAAACATATTAAATAAAACATGAAAGAAATTTTACTTATTGCCAAATATTTCACATATTTTTTCCATAAACTAGTTTGGCATATTACGACAAACAAATCCAGAATACAAATATTTAAATATCCTTGAATAACTTCTTACAAGAATGGAAATTACCTACTTCAGAGAGGTCAAAGGGCAGGATTTAGCAAAAAGATTTTCTGGTGACTTCAAACGATTTTTTGTTTCAATACGAGATAAGCATTGGCTCAACAAATCTCTTGATTTAACTAGATTGTGGTTGATAACACAAAAGGTTTATGTGGGCATTTATCGTAAATTTACTTTAAAAAGGTACCTAGCTTGTATCCAAAATAATAAATATTAAGCACCAACCCATTAATAAATGGATTATACAAGAATTTAATGTTTACTGCGATTCCCGTCAAACGATAACGTATTTTTATTGTTATTTCTTTTCTGACATTCACCCGACAAGTTATTGTCATTAGGTATAATTTTATTTCGCCTTTAATCGAATTGGTAGAGATAGCAAAACATAATATACCTATAGTACTAGAGTTTAAACATTGTGTATCCCGAGTTCCCGACAATGTGTGTGACAATGCCTTCAAAGAAGTGAATGGAAATAGGAATTGTTCAACTCCAGAAGATTGAAGTGTTAGCAATAAACCTCTCATGACTTTGAAATTAGGGGACGTACGTTAGGAATGCTTACCCGTCATCTGGACCTCCACACCCTTTCTGGCCAATCGGTTGACTTCAAGGAAAACCTAGTTTGCTTTAATTTATTAAGGGTGAAGTTTTCCAGAGTTCTCTCTAATTTTCAGTAACAACAAGTAATGCATGTGGTATTGGATAAAATAGCTTCTGCGCTTTGGAGAGCAATTGCAATCGATCAAGCCATGCCCGCTTTATACTCGTAGTATGGTCATATTACCTGGTTATCATCTAGGGAGGTTTATAAGTAAGTAGGTCATAATTTAAGCACTAAGATAATTCAAAAACAGTCTTTTAAGCTGAATAGAATTTATATAATTCTTCAGTAATCCAAATTATTAACCATAACTACTTTTTTAAACATAATAAATTATTATGCACACTACGAAGGTGTGTGCGTACTTAGCTGAAAAGTAAAACTTCCGTATAATCTCGACAAAATTGATAGCAATTATGTCAAACAGACACCATGAAAGTTAATGGGGTCTCAGGAGAATGGCAATTTAGTTTTAAAGAGAGGTGAATGAAGTAATCTCACAAAGAGCCTATCTCATCTCGTTACTTTGATGTACTTGAATCAGATAAACGATTATTCCTCTGAACTTTGAACGGTCGCGGGTAAAATGTTTTAGATTGTAAGTTCGGGACATCTTTAGTTTGATCAAAGATCCTATGTTACATTGTTAACAAACACAAGTATCTTCACCAGAGATTATGTTTACTACAAATAAATGTTAGTCTGCAATTTGTCTTTTGTAATGAAAAATTGAATAATGATCAAAATATTCACTACAACAAGTTAAATATTATTCACTGGGAAAACAGTCAGTACAATGACTGCATTCGAATATATTATTCACATTCAGTGAAAATAAGTTAGCATTGAAGCCGCCAGCGGTATAAAGGAACGTTTACGCTTTATTTTAAACTAGCGGCCGCCCGNGGTATTTACGAACAGCGCTATTCATAGCATGTAATATTTAGTTACTAATTTACTAATGATGTCGATAGATGGCGTTTGACAGCTTTGCCTTCATGAATATTTACGTACCTCAAAAATGTTTGTCAGGCGCAAGAAGATTTTAACCAATGACGATAGATGGCGCTTTTCCACGTCTTATGAAAATCCCAAATATTTTACGGGACCCTATTTTTTTCCAAAATAAAATTAGGCCTATGTTACTCGTGAGTTATGTAGCTTTCGAATGGTGAAAGAATTTTTAAAATCGGTCCAGTAGTTTTTGAGCCTATCCATTACAACTAAACAAACAAACAAAGTTTTCCTCTTTATAATATTAGTGTAGATTAATTGGCTCTGATAATTAAAGCGTTATGCGATTCAGAACTACTGACCTCATTTAATTTGCAATTATTTTACATGAATTTTCATGTAAATTGGTTCCAATTAAAATCGGCATGGACGGGGTAGTAATAAAAACAGCACAATGAGCTCGGTAAATGCAATTAAAGTTGTAGTACCGAGAATCAGACAGCTAGAACATCCAAATCAATTCTAATTGAATCTAAAATACTCCCACGCAATTTCATTACTTAATAAAAAGGAATAATATATTATTTTTAGAATGTTTTCAAAATAAAGCACAAATGATCAGGCTCAAGTATACCTACCCAAGACTAATAAGAGGCTTGACAAAAACCGCGAAAACTTAGCTACCTTTTCATTTATTTACATCTCAATAAACTGGAGTACCGTCGAGAGGGCTTTAAAAGTCGCGTATAAAATCAACAAATCTTCAATACAGAGCGACAAAATACGGCGGACAAAGGCAGGGCTGGCTGCTGCGCATTTAGAATTCATTGGAGCTGGGCGGCTGAAAGTTATCTGATCGTAAACCCTGACGAGGCGGCCGCCAGGGGGGATACAATGTGATATGTGGTGACAGATAACTGTGGCGTTTGTTCTACTTAATGGTACATAGTTGGTCTCGCAGGCTGTAAACTAGCCCGTCGACAAGTTGCTGTCAAGTTCGTTATGTTGTTGGATCCCTGACAATGGATTAGCGACATAAACGTTGTGTTATATTGTTGCCGGCTCTGTGGCTACAGTAATTTTGTATGTAAATCTTTGAGATCGTATATCAATCTTACGACAATAAACTAAAAACGATGCGTACTTGACAAATGTATCTAAGTTTTAACTTGCCCTAAAATGGATTCTTGTGACTAAATACAACGGGAATGACTTTTGGCATCACTAACATCCACTCACGTTTTGGTAATTTTATTTTAAAACGTCGGTATTTTGCTAAACGTGAACAAGATCTCTTTTTAATGAACAGAAGGCGCACAATGATTATTATATTGTTACGCTCAGGCGCGCCCTCGCGGTTGTTGCGCACAAACTGAAGTAGGCAGGTACAATACAATAGATGCAGCAGGCGAAGCGGCAATTGCTAATTAAACACCTAGCACTTTGAGAGACAAGAGCTCGTATACATGTCCTCGACTACGATACTGAAGCAGTTGTGTTAAATTATTTTATTTCAAAAAAATGTATAGGAGACATCTCTAGTGGAGATAAGTACAAAGAGTGTAAACATTTCGGGACCATTAAAGAACATCTATACTTATAATAAATCTGTAGAGAGGTCAATTCTGTACATGAAATATATTTTCAGAATAACTATCAGGGGGTGATTAGTGATCGATATTAATGCCAAAAATGCAATCAGTAAAATTTTTGTGTGTCTGTCTGTCTGTATGTTCCTTATAGAAACAAAAACTACTCGACGGATTTTAACGAAACTTGGTACAATTATTAATACTTCTGGGCAGGTTATAGTAGGTATACTTAGGAATTCCCACGGGAACTGGAGTTAGCGGGAAAAAACGTTTGTATGAAAAAATCTAAGCCGCGTAAGATAGATGAAGGGGGTAAAACGGGATCCACGCGTACGTAGTCGCGGGCGGCCGCTAGTAGTTTAGTTAATATAAACAGAAAAATCATTAAATAATTAGATTAATCAATGAAGCATGCTTACAAAAAACTACCTTCCTAAAACCCTATAATGTGCAGTCAGCGTTTTATTCTTAAGCCAATCCCGTATCTGCCAAACAGTGCAGATTTAAAACTCATTTTATTTTAGGATTTATTTAGATTTCAGCAATGAAGATTATCCCAATCAAGCGCCATACTGTGGTACAGTTTTCTGGCTAGCGGTAGCTGGTAAGCGGGCATGGCAATTTGAGTTTTAATTCTTTGAATATACAGAGCTCCAATTCCAAGTGCTCCCGTCTGTCCGCGAGTAATTCTGGCGTTATCTTCAAAAAGCAGACGCGAGGCTTCACCTCCGCCCGATCTGCGTGGCCTGCGCTTAACGAGGGACGATATACATTTACGACTTCGACATTTCCTTTTATGGGCATTTGATGACATGCCGTTTATAAGACGGCGTAAAACACATCTTGTGTAATGTTTACAATCGAAATTGAAGTGTTTGATGAGCTCGTAAAATGTAAGGCGAAAAGCGCTTAGTATTTATTTATCTGCCTAAAGTTTGTTGACGCACAAAGACAATATTTTCAGTTCCGTTTTGAAACAGCGATGATTTATTGAACTACCTATCTTATGAAATAGAATACTACAAACAATACATGTAGAGGAACGTTAAAAATTTAATAACAATCGAAATAAAAGCGTTCGTTCGTTACGAGATATTGTGAGCATTTCTCGTTTGGCTTTATTAAAGTCGCTATTCGTGTAATAACCGGCCTTTAAGAAAGCACCAACACACCCTTGAGACGTGCAATTTTAATATCCTCTTTTATTGAAGCGCAGGCGAGGAAAGTTGTGGAGTCTTATAAGCCGCTCAAACTGCAGCGGCATTAAATCAAGCGCTGGTAATCTGCATAAACAGGCAACTGCCGACGCGACGCGCGGCTTGTAATGAACCCTGGATGTGGCTCTGTAAGATTTAACATAATAACTACACAAAAAATACTAAAAACCTGGTAACCTTATTTCACTGAGTTAAATGTTAATACTTATAGTCCGATTTTTAATTCGACGGAATTCTGACAGCTGTCATTTTTTGACAATTCAGATGTAATAAGCCTTTTTTGCTTTGAATTATTAATAAATAATATGAAATGAAATTTCATCAAGTACAACTTACAAGAATGAACTATTGTTTGTTGTGTCAATTCAATGTACACTAATTATTATGAACATTTTAGAGTTTAAATAGAAAAATACGTGTTTTTAACACAGTAAAACAACATATTATCATTTACGAAAATATG